ATGACGGATCATGAGGCCGGACTCCTGGGTCGAGAATGTGTCTTGCGACTCAGGATGTCAGGTCTACGAGGGCTGAGAAGTCCGCGAGGATCCCCAAGTAGTGAACCGGACCCCAAGCGACAACAACATGTGCCACCTCGTCCGGTGTCTCTATCCACACCGTCGTTGAGCTCGCTGCCGTCGTACCACTCATCGGATACGAACAACCAGAGCGTACGATCCCGACGATCTCGGGATTCCTAGCTCCTCCGGTCATAATTTCGGCCAAGCTGCGGTCGCCACGGCTGCGATCGGTTTTGGGAATTCATCATCACTGATCCAAAGAGTTCGAATTTCGGCCATCTGATATCTGAAGGAGTTCACTGGGAAGGATATGGACAAAGATCACGCCAGAGCTTGAATCGGCAAAGTGAAATCGGCGTTCCAGCGAGGCCAAGCAACAGAAAAGGAGAAATGCCTCACGTTTGGGGATCTGATGGTGGGGTCAGCCAAGAACTGGCACCGAAAATTAAGTCGGACTACCAAGACCAAATGGGCGGATCTACTTGAAAATTTCCAGACCCAATACTGTGGTCTGGGTATGTCAGTGGTGTGGCATTACTACCATGCCCGAAAGGGATCCGAGGTGACCCCACTTGATTATCTGTATCGACTGAACGTGGCTGCCCTGCGAGCCAAACTCAAGATCAAGGATGGTAATTTGAAGGCGCACCGGGAACACGTCGATCATTAAATTAAAACGTTGGGCGATCCGGAATTGGCAGATCGCCTAACACTGTTGCGATTGGCTAACGTCGACGAACGGGAGGAAGGGCCAAGAGTAGACAACGCCGATCTGCGTTCGCGTCTTGGTTTCGACAGAAGGCTCCTGCCAGCGCTCCGACAGCACCAGCCCGTGCCGCGGTACGTGCGATCCAAGCGCATGATCCGAGTTCCGAGTCGGAAGGAGTTTCAGGATCTGACGGATCCGACTCGGAAGGTGACCTGCGAAGAATCTTCCTGGCCGCGGCAGAAGAGAAGTTGATCAGTACTGGGGGCGCTTCGCAGAACCCAGATCCAGCGCGATCCCGAACAAAAGCGTTTGATGGAGCCCGGATCTCGGATCGTCGCAGCCCGAGAGGCAGAGATCACCAAGATCGAGAGAACTGTTCCCTTTGTGAGTCCAGGAAACACACAGATCTGGATTGTTGGAAACGTCTGATATGTGAAAAGTGTGGGAAAAGAGGTCACCCTACAGATCGCTGTCTGTATGCGTGCCGTGTATGCGGGGACGTCCACGAAGCAGGAGAATACCCCATGGAGGAATTCTACAATCAGATCCGCAAATGGTACGATCCGACTCGACACGCCGGGCTGTTCTCCGAACAGGTCGAGAAGATCTTAACCTAGGACGCTCACCGGGGTGGGATCCGGTACGAGCCGAGTGTTCTAGATTTTGCATCTACGCCTATGTGGACAAGGTGACGGCAGTTCAAGGTAAGAAGGAGTCAGGTCTACGCGGTAATACATGTAATTTGCATTCGTACACCGCCAAGATCTCGAGTCTTCCCCAGATCAGCGAATTCAGCAGATCTAATGCGAAAGTTACCTTAATCTCAAAAGAGGAGAGTCTCGGGGTTATTGGAAACGTCATTCCCGGAGAAATGGTTCCGATAAGTCAAGATCTCCGGAAGGATCAATCACGAGAGAGCGATCATCCTCCTAGATACTGGTGCAGATGTATCAATCTTGGATACCACATTTGCTCGTAAGGTGGGATGCAATTTTGGCACCAGTCAGGACACGAATGTGTTGGAATCGGTGATAACGCATATACCACGGAAGGAATTACCAAAATCAAGATCACTCTAGCGGGATATCTGGTGTATTTCGACATCTGGATCGGAGATCTCTCGGGACAGAACGCGATCTTAGGCATGGATTTCATGGTCCCAGCCGGTGTGGGGATCGACCTCGCCGACGGATCGATGCGCCTACCTGACGAAGTTGGGATACCGCTTAAAGGTCGTAAGAGACTGTATGGCGAGAAGGTGAGATCAGTGGTTCTCGGACAAAGTCTGCGGATCCGGGCTGGTCGGTCGGAAGAAACAGCGACGAGGATAAAATTGACAGCCACGAAAAAGTTGTGGATCAGAACGATGGGTACCGACAGTGACGTAAGGCCCCGGTCGGATCCGCTATCTGGTGATCTCGAACATCGGAGAAAAGCTCCCACGGCTAGACCGTCGTATGGACGTCGGCGTCATACTGGATCAGGACAATGTACCCCGATCACCAGTGTTCGTTTCCGTCAGGTCACGTCGCTACAGGGAATGGCAGAATCAGGCACTAGAATTGACGGTAGATACTAGATCGGAGCCCCCAGAACCCATAGAGCGCATGGCGGAGGCTGCAGTACAACGACCTTCGTATCCCACGCCACGATCAATACTACGCAGGACAGGATCCGCTGATATCGACCGAGATCGAACGTTGATAGCGACCCTAGAATATCGACCGAGGGCGGAAATCGCCACCACAGTTCAGATCGAGGCAGGATTTCCCGACCTGGACAGGGGTCACACTTCTACGCCACCGGAAAACCCCAACGTCGATCGATACCGGAGCGGCGATGCTGGGGGCGGCAGGATATGTGACGAAGTGGGTGAACGCTTGACCGCCCAAAGATGTATAGCGTGCCCTGAACGGATTCGAACACGAAGTCGTTCAGGTAGTGCAAGACTCGAGCTGAAAACTAGTTCCAGTCCGGGTTGGCGTGTGCCTTGCGTCAATCCCTATAGGTTCGATTAATTCGAAAACCAGGGATAACCCCGTAGCAGCGATTTCCAAATAGGATATACAGGTATATAAGAGAACTTTCGGGGCCTCCTCGTCCTAGTTGTCCTGAGTGTAAGTTGAGAGATCAGGGGTAAATCCTTCCTCCAAGAATCAACCTAAACAATACAAATAGCGTAGATGATATACACAGAGTTTGTAATGCAAATATACAGCCTGTCAATTATTAGACACACCCGAATACAGGTAGATTTCGGGATGCCCTTCGCGCACCACTCCAGTACTAAGACAGGAGAATCAATATAAGTACCTTCCGTTCACACAGCAATCAGCAATAAAGATCCAGGGGGAGATCGCTATAATCCTCCCCTAAATCGCAGGGTAATATGAAATGCAACTGGACTCCAGAGGCAACTTGGTAAATGAAATAACTGGGTCAGCCCGAGGGTTCAAGCACACCGGTCCCCGAGTTAACTTAGCTTGAACGGGGTTGAGAGTCTTCACGCGTCCCGCATGTCCGTAGTCGGTCCTTGGTGTGGTCGGTCCCTGAGTCGTTGACCCCTTAGGTTATCTCCCACAGGTCTTCTCCGACGAGGTGCCCCTAGCAACACGGTTTCGGCGAACCACTTGTGCACTAGATGGCAAAACAAACTCTATTTAAAAAACTCTATTTAAACTTTAACTATCAACATCTTCATCTTAGGCCTATTCTTCATGATCTTGAGATTCTTGCAGTGTCTTGATCTCTGGGGTTTTGAATTCTTCGGTCCCCGTTGCCTCGTGATTACACACCGCCTGGATGACTTGGTTTTTGTATGCTGGGGTTGTCACATCATCGGCCAGCTTGGGCACACACATCACATGTTGACACATAGCCCACCTTGATTTGGCAGCATCGGCTGACTCTTCACACGGGTCTCATCTCCTCTTCAGTATGATTTTCAAGTAGTCTGACGTCGGTGCAACTCGATCTTTGCCTGCACTGGCGTATGGCGCGTATTGTACCTTGGACCGCCACGTCATCAGTTGAATCGTCTGGTGCGACATTCGGGCTCTATTCCATTCGGGTTGTACGTGATGTCTCCATTCGGGACACACTCCCGCAATTCAGGATTTCCGGCGGCCAGGGACCCCGGGCTCCATATCTCCTCAAACGTAAGTCCCTCAATCTCTACTGATCCACCCGAAAGTATCGGTCAGCCCAAGACACACTCCCACAATTCATGACGTCCAGTGGCCAGGGACCCCGGGGCTTCATATCGCCTCAACCGTAAGTCCTTCAATATCTACTGGTCCGTCCTAAAGCATCGGTCATCATTTCGGGCTCATCCACGCTTCGCCTTCCTGGAACAACGGTGTTCGGTCACTTGGCTCGGGTGACCGGAAACTGGGATTTACCTCCGAAAGAGAATGTCATCACGCTCCATATTCCAAGTTCCGGTTCTCAAATCAGGGCAGCTGCGGAGGCCACCTGAATTTCAGGTTGAATCACAGATAAGTGAGAGCATGCCGGATCAGGCTACCGATCGGACGGACACCAGGGATATCAAGACGGAAAATCGGACTGACACCAAGGATATCTAGCCGAAAACGGAAAATCGAACCCAGATCCAACTCGATCAAGCCCAGATCAAACCCGATCCCGGCGAAGAACACGACGGAAAATTCCCGATTTCCCCGACTAAGGGTGTCGGGCAACGATATCCGCTGGCGGAAGGAGCAACAGCGACCTCACCACAGGATGCCGAGGACGATGAGGAGATATATTACCATGATAGCGGCGATCTCTCAGCTGAAGGTCTTGAAGGAAACCTGGCCGTCCTCCCCGAAATCCCGATCTCGACGACTGCGAAGGTCAGTATTGAGGAGCTGAAGGTGGGACACTCCGGATCGGCCACGCCCGAGGAGACCGAGAAGCTCCGGCAGGTCGTTTGGAAGAAGCGACACCTTCTGATCGGGAAAGGTAACGCCCTACCTTCGGCGGCCAAGGGCGTCGTTTGTGATATCGATGTCGGGGAGGCGAAACCGATCGCACTGGGAGCCCGTAAAGTACCCACGCGATTTCGAGAAAAAGTCGCAGGCCTGATGAAGGGTCTCCTGGCAGCCGAGATCATTTGACCTTCAACATCACATGGGCCTCGCCGATCGTGATTGTTCCCAAGAGTAACGGCGTGGATATCAGGTTATGCATCGACTATAGGTTGGTAAGCAGCCTTACGAGGTTGATGGTCTATCCTATGCCCCTGATCAGCGATCTGATGGAAGATCTTGATAAGGTACTATGGTATTGCTCGCTGGATATGGCAAATGTATTCTGGGTCGTGCCGATGCCGGATCGATCCCGCGAGATCTCAGCATTTATCACCCCGTTTGGACTATTCGAATGGCGTCGCATGCCTTTTGGCCTAAAATGCCCCACAGATCTATCAACGCCTCGTAAACAACGCACTGTATGTATTCCTGAAGATCTCCCGATCAGGCAACTCCGGTGCCACATCTGACGTTTTCTAGACTGGGATCGTGGACGATCATGATCGTGGGTCGTCGTTGGGGCGGAGATCATGCATTGACAACATCATAATCGCAGCGGAATCGTGGGACCAAATGTGCCGAAGGGTGGAAGACCTGTTGGAGGTTGATGATAAGTGGAATCTATCGATCAGTGTGGCAAAGAGCCTCTGGGGTATGGATAAGGTAGGATATCTGGGACACCGAGTGCGATCAGAGGACTGGAGGCGAACCCAAAAGATCTGAAATCCTTGACCGATCTGCCATTTCCTCGGATCACTTCGTTCCATGCAGTCGTTCTTGGGTAGTTTTGAATTACTAAAGCCAATTCATTGAAGATTACGCTATCTAAACTTCTGTGTTCTACGAATTACGCGAGGTGGAGTTCGCAGAACTTTAGAAACGATCAGATCTGAGAAAGATCATGGACCGGAACGATCCGATTCCTCGAGATCACGATCTACCGGAACCGCAGTTGACGGAATCAGAGAATGAGAGATGGATCAGGGCACATAATGTCTTAACCACCCTGAAAACCAAGATCGCTACTACCCCAATTTCCCGTCACTTCGACGAGACGAGAACGCAGGTAATCATTGTATATGCCAGTGATTGGGCGATATCCGCTTCGTTGACGCAAGAACACGACGGGACCTACCATCAGGTTGCGTTCGCCAGCTGCACCTTGATGTCGAACAAGTTGAATTACAGTGTGACCGAAAATGTGACCGAAAAGGAGGTGCTGCCATTGCTGAGGATCTTGGATCTATACTACAATTTACTAGTAGGACGCCAGATCCGAGTCCTGACGTGTAATGAACCCCCCCCCAGTTACATAAGTAGGTAGATTCAATTACATAAGTAGGTACATTAGCACACGAGTAGCGTGTGCTGTGTTGTCACTCACTGATTGTCTAAATAGAAGGAAATCAGCCAATCAGGAGTCGACTTGCATTTGGATGGTTCTCAAGGGGTCAAGACTTCCGCCCTGGACCTAAAGAAATAATGCGTTTTTAATGATCTACGGGTTTAATACTTTCTTTATTATTGCGAGCTTCCTCATCGCTACGTGTAAGCTAGTAAGGGTGATTACCTGGCCCGTCAGACCTGGTAGCACTTTGTAGTCCTTCCAACGTCCAAGATGAACATAAATGAAGACCCTACCGGATCAGCCGGTATGACCCTGAGTCACGAAGCCTTCCCTCATCTTACTCGCGTTGAGTGGGAAGCTCTTCACCGCCTAGCGGTGGTGTCAGAAGAGGCTGTCATGACCTCGCTGTTGGGTACAGCGTCGCCGGACCAGCATCGCCAAGCTGCTCAAGAATTCATGGAACGTCAGCTTGCTGACGCCAAGCAGCGAGTACAAACTCCCTCCCGCTCCAAGAATGACGCCGTGAAGATGGAGACATCTACCTATTCCGGAGTTGGCTCTGACAGGCTTCCCCTGAACCGCTGGTTCCGAGAGATCGATATCGCCATCGCCTCGACAACCGGGACAGCTGGAAGTTCACCCCTCCGCGAAGGTGAACTTCCTGCTGTCCCGATTGTCTAGGAAGGCCAAGGAATGGGCCCTCGGCAAACTGGTCGTTGACCCCTCGCCTTCCCCACCCTGGATGCTATCCAGAGTGATCTGCGCCTCGCGTTTGAGCCGCCGCAAGACGGGCCCCGCGTGCGAGCGCAATTCTTTGTCCTCAAGCAAGACAGAGTGAGCGATGGCCATCTCTGTACAACTTGTTCAGTACTGCTGGATGACGTCGGCGGCCGACGCCTTCGCGAGTGGGACCCTCGCGAGCCGAGAATGAGACGGTGGTTGATGACACGATGTCGGTGAAAACATTTCGCGTTGGAGATGTATAGCGTAGCCAGAATCGGAAAGCCACCCAGGATCTAGG